TGGGCTCTGTTTCTGCTGTCCTGGACAGCTCAGACGTGTTGGGCAGCGCGGATTCTGCTGTCCTAGGTAGCTCACGAGCGATGGGCAGCAGTATTTTTCAGCAGAAAGTACAGGAAATTAGTCCAAGGTGCAGCAAGGAGAGCTGGGCAGCAGCTTGGGTGCAGGGGCAGACACCTCTCTAACTATTGGCAGCTCCGTTTTGGCGAGTAAAGGTAGTAAGGCACCCCTCTAAGTGTTGGGCTAGACACTACAAGCGACGAGGGCGACGAGGGAGCTTTAGGTGCCGCTTTTAGTCATCACGATACGACTCCTTCAAATGTGACTTCTCAAATCCAAACCTCTCAAGAGGATGACCTGGGCCACTCCTTGCCGCCTTGAAAGAAGAAGCGAAAAAGCAAATTGGGACTTGATGACGATGGGTCTAAGGTGAGTACCCTTTTCAGTCTGTTCCATTTAGATGAAGATATCTCGAGACTTGTTTTTACTTATCGCATTCCTCAAACCGTGCTGTGCCGTCGAGCTGAGTTGGGCGAGCTTACTTGTGATGACAAAAATAATATTTTTTCAAACATTAAAATATCTCACATAATTACCTGGAGAGAAAAAGGTAGCCTGCTTGCGCAAGAGCAAAGACAGAGTTGGAGAACTACTCGTGAGAAAGCTACATCTTTTGAGACCTAACTTTTGGCGACCCATGAGGGAGTTTTTAAGGTTGAGGTATAAGCTGTCTATTTGAGAATAGAGCAAAAGCCAAGCTTTTTTGGCTACCCCCAAGAGAGCCGCTAAGCTAGAGATAGACTGCCTGTTTGAGAACAGTGCAGAGGCCAAGTTTTTTTGGTGACCCGTGAGAGAGTCACTAAGCTGGAGATAGACTGTCTGTTTGAGAACAGTGCAGGGGCCAAGCCTTTTTGGCGACCCGTGAGAGAGCCGCTAAGCTGGAGATAAGCTGTCTGTTTGAGAACAGTGTAGAGGCCAAGCTTTTTTGGCGACCTATGAGAGAGCCACTAAGCTGGAGATAGGCTGCCTATTTGAGAACAGTGCAGGGGCCAAGCTTTTTTGGCGACCCGTGAGAGAGCCGCTAAGCTGAAGATAAGCTGTCTGTTTGAGAACAGTGCAGAGGCAGGTCAAGCTTCTGGTGATCTGTGAGATGATTCACCTTGCCTAAACCTGTTGATTTCCTCAACATTCATATATCTTTGAACTTTTGCCAATATTTTTGGTATGCTCTTTGGTGGTTGCTTCATTACTGAAAAAAGGAAGCTTGATGAACGGAGGCTACCCAAGAAGGCGGTCATCATTACCTTGTCGTCGGGTTCATCAACTTGGAGTACCTCCTCGTTAAAACGAGTGAGATAACTCCTCAGACTCTCCTTGTGGTCCTGCTTTATACTAAGCAGGTGCGTAACAGGCTTCTGGTGGCGACGCCCTCCAATGAAATGTGAAACGAATGATCTGTTAAGCTCAGCGAAGGAGGCAATGGAAGTGGGGGAGAGCTTAGCAAATCACTGTCGGGCAGACCCCTTTAACGTGGTTGGGAATACCCTGCACATGATTTCGTTTGGTACGTTGTGCAGTTGCATCAAAGTCTTGTAAGTGTCGAGGTGGTCCAGTGGATCCTTAGTTCCATCAAAGGTCTCCACAGATGACATTTTGAACTTCTGAGGGAGGGGGTAATTTGCTATATCAGGCTTGAAAGGCGTATCCGTACGCCTTACCAGGTGGTCTATAGTTTCGGGTCCCTGTGCCTTCATGGCGTTGAAGACATCACTTAGTTGATTTTGTACTTCTTTGATTTTCTCGTCCCAATGATTGAGGACTTCTCTGGAATGATCATGAAAATGACTTTCGTGCTCGATACTTTGGTTTTTGCCCTCATCCTCTTGGAGATAAGGGTCCTCTCCATGGGAAGCAAGATTGTATGATCCGATAGAATTCAGAATATAAATATATTAAGATGTATTTCACTATCCATAAAGGAGACGATCGGCCCAAGTTGCAGCCCTCTATCCAACATTGTTTGCAATAGTACTGCATTTTGAGTTTGATAATCAAACTTGGAATAGCGGTTTGTAGTACAATGTCTAGGCTTGAAGGCAAGTTGTTGGACCACTGACCCACCATTCAAAGGGGTTAAGGGTTATGGTTGTGCCTTACCTCGAATGCAAAACAGTGAAGCCAGTGGAAGGTTTGGTGCTATGAGATGTCTTTTATGGATGCTGATATTATTAAACATAGGGGCCATCACTACATGTCAAATAAAATAAAACCAACATAGCCTACATCAGTCATCTATAATATAAAATAGAATAAGATTCAATAAATTTTTCTGACGGTCTCAAATAAACTCATTTACCGACCATTAACATCTCTTAAAATCGTTCATATTATATCGTATCTTCAAAAATAAGTTATTCCTAGTATTTTATATATAATTCAATTACTTAACTTAAAATCAAATACATTATCACTATCATTATTGTTCTTGAAGAAGCAATAAATTTCAAATAATGTCGAGATCCATTATTTTTTATTTTTTTACTATTTAAAAGGGTTATAGATGGGGGTGCCTATGGGTCGGGTAGGGTTAGACCCATGAAATCTTTTTGAGCGGAGTCTGGGCAAGGTAGGTCCAACCCGAGAGAGTGATCGATTAGTCAGGCCGAGTCGGACTTCTAATAGAGATAGGCTACCTGCAACCTAACCTTTCACCCATTTGGCGGGCCTTTTTTTATATTTACGTCTTCATTTAAAAAAAAATTAATTTAGTATTTTTATAAATTATATTTTTGAATTAAAAATATGTTCAAAATGGATAAAAAGTAAATAATTAATAATTTTATTTGAGACGAATTATTTAGAATTTAAGTAAATAATGAATAATGAATAATACTCTAGATTACTCAACATAGTATTTAAGTAAAAAAATAAAAATTAGAGGAATATACCACTAAACTTTCAATTGCCAAATTTCTTTTCAAACTAAGTGGGTGGAGTGACTGACAGGCTGGGTTGGGCGGATGGGTTTGTTTGTAGGTGAGCTCATGAGTTGGATAATGAGTTTGGGGCATGTTCTCTTTTAAAAGATAGTGTATTAAACTCGGGTTTTGGATAGACCAATTATCGAGTTTCAAATTTAATTTTTATTGGCTTGGGTAACATGAAATTCCTATCCACATATGACCAAACAGGAAATATGTGGATAGAAATATTCACATATTCCTATCCACAAGTTTATCTTTTGTGAATGACCAAACATGAAGTTCCTATCTATCCACATATGACTATAGTCTATAGCAACTCATATCTTTTGAGAATTCGTGAAGTGATCCATTTAGTACATGAATTCATTCAATAGGAAACAATTAATAAATGAATTGTTATTCCGGGACTATCAATTCGACTGCCAACCATTCACCGTCTTAATTTCTCTCTTCTCTTCTGCCTTACTTAATTGAACTTGACGTGATACATCTCTTCTTCTACCACTACCAACAACTCAAGAATTAAAATCTTCTCCCCTTTTTACCTCCATGGAGTCAAGCACCAATGAGGTAGTCCATGAGTTCCCTCGCCTATTTCGCATCTACAAAGACGGCCGCATCGAGAAATTGTCAGTCACCGACTTTGTCCCCCCGTCCGACGACCTAAAAACCAGCGTCCGATCCAAAGACGTCGTCATTTCGCCCGAACCCACCGTCTCCGCCCGCCTTTTTCTCCCCAGAACCACCAATCCAGACCAGAAACTCCCCCTTCTTATCTACATCCACGGCGGCGCTTTCTCTATCCAATCACCCTTCTCTTCTGTCTACCATAAATACGTCAGCTCTCTTGTTGAACTCGCCAATGTAATCGCCGTATCAATCGACTACAGACTAGCTCCAGAACATTCTATCCCTGCTTGCTACGATGATTCGTGGGCAGTCATGGAGTGGGTGGCTCTGCATGCTAATGGTGGGCAAGGACCTGAACCTTGGCTGAACGATCACGCTGACTTCCGGCGGGTTTTCTTGGCCGGAGACAGCGCCGGAGCCAACATTGCGCATGAAATGTTGGTCCGAGCTAGCAATGCCGACCAAGTGTTTGATAAAATGATTGTGGGAATGGTTTTGAATCAACCCTTTTTTGGGGACGACGAACCTAATAAACTATGGATGCTAATTTGCCCAGAGACCAGTGGGTGTGATGATCCAAGGATAAACCCTGCTGCTCATCCGAGTTTGTTGGCAAAGCTTGTGTGCAAGAAGGTTCTGGTTTGTACTGCAGAGAAAGATTTTTTAAGGCAGAGAGGGTGGACATACTATGAAGCATTGAGGAGTAGTGGGTGGGGTGGGGTGGTGGAGATTGTGGAGACCGAAGGGGAAGAGCATGTGTTCCATTTGCTCAAACCAAGTTGTGAGAAATCTGGGAGGCTGATGAAACAGGTTGCTTCCTTCTTTAACCAGGACCACGGCTCTTAAGAATACATAATAAGGTTCCACTTTGATACCAAAAACTCTTTTTTCTTTTTCTTTTTTCTTTTTTCCTTTAATCCAATCAAAAGATGACTTTTTTAAAGTCATCTGAATTGTATCGTTTGATTTTATGTTGTAATTTTGTACAATTAACGAGTATAAATAATTCAAATCAAGATCTAGAGCAGGGAGTCATCATCAGATATATTATTAAGAAATTATTTGCCACTATTATATTGTTATGCTGATTTATTGGGTACGCTTGCTCTGTTTGAAACTGTAGCTAGGGCAGGTAAACAAGTTGAACTATGCGGATTTGTCAAGTTCATTCTTCTACACGAAACTTAAAAATTCATCCAATAAACCTTAGGGTCCAATAATTTCATAAAGAATTGTCAAACAGATGGTCCAAATACGTCCATCTCCTCGAAACAAATATCTCTCTCTCTCTCTCTCTCTCTCATTTTTATTTTTATATGATTCCTCATCTTTTGTAAACAAGAGCTCTGCTTGAACACTTCTCTTTGTTGTCTCTTCATTTTCTCTGCAATGGCTTCAAGTACAAATGAAATAGTCCACGAATTCCTTCCCATGATTCGAGTCTACAAAGATGGTCGAGTTGAAAGACTGGTGGGCAACGACGTCGTCCCGGCATCAGTGGATCCTAACACCGGAGTTCAATCAAAAGACATCATAATCTCACCGGAAATCGGTGTAGGTGCTCGGCTTTTTCTGCCCAAAAACGCCGATCCACACCGGAAACTTCCTCTCGTGGTTTACTTTCACGGCGGTGGCTTTGTCATTGAAAGCGCTTTCTCTCCGACGTTCTATAATTATCTCAATTCACTAGTAGCAGAAGCAAATGTCGTGGTAGTGGCTGTCGATTACAGGTACGAGTATCAATTTTATACGTCAATACAAGATTATGATAGGCTTGATAGATAGCAATAGAAAATATTTTGATAAATTACACTTTTAGTCCTCGAAGTATACATGCAGTGTCTATTTAGTCTCAAATCTTCTAATTATGTTTATTTGGTCCCTAAGGTTCATAATTTGTATTTATGTGGTTCAATCCCAAACGTTCGTCAAAAAATCGTTAACGTCTCTAGTCACGCACAATTCATATGAGATCAAATAAACACAAATTATGAACTTTAAGAACTACATAGACACAAAATTAGAAATTACGTGATTGTCGTGTGACTAGAACTATCACGATTTCTTAACGGATGTTTGAGATTGAACCACGTAAGTACAAATTAGAAACCTTAGGAACCAAATAAATACAATTAGAAGATTAAGAACTAAATAGACATTATCCACATACTTTAAGGACTAAAGGTATATTTTACCCAAAATATTTCGTTATTGTAAGGAAATTTATTTGTAGTCGTAAATGTTGATTTAATGTATTTATGGTCATTAATTATAAAATTATAAAATAAAACAATAAGAATTCTTTGCACATATGACTGCCATTTTTTAAAACATAATTTTTTAGTATAATTATAAAATCCGATATATGAACATGAACACGATGTATCCAACATGACACGAATTCAAATAGCATTACTTGAGGTCTCTCCTATACTTTTTGCTTCAATTTCTTTTAAAATTCGATCACCCAATATTAATCAATGTAGAATTCAGTAATTAAAATGAAAATAACGTGATCTAAAATATTTTGATAAGAATATAGCACGACACAACTCAATTTACACTCTTTTTATTTACAGGCTAGCCCCGGAGCACCCTCTTCCTATAGCTTATGAAGATTCATGGGTCGGCCTCAAGTGGGTTGCTTCCCATGTCAAAGGAGATGGCCAGGAGTCATGGCTGAAGGACTATGTTGATTTTGAACGTGTGTTTTTTGGAGGAGACAGTGCAGGTGGGAACATAGCACACAACATGGCCATGCGGGTCGGGTCAGAGAAATTTGACGGTATCAGTATTGTTGGGTTGTTTTTAATCCACCCATTCTTTTGGGGTGAAGAACCAATTGGTAATGAATGTGCTGATATCAAAATTGCTGCCAAAGCTTACGCTGATAACTTGTGGCGTTTTGTGAACCCATCGACAGTTGGGTCCAATGACCCATTTTTAAATCCGGCTACTAACCCGAATCTTTCAAGCCTAGGGTGCACTAGGGTCTGGTTTTTGTTGCTGAGGAAGACTTGGTGAAAGATAGGGGTTGGTATTACAAGGAGGTATTGGCCAAAAGTGGGTGGAAAGGAAATGTTGAGGTCATGGAGGCCAAGG